TAAAAATTATTTAAAAAAATTTTTATTAAATTTGATTACGTTTTTGTTAAATTATTCTTGCTTAAAGTTATAAAAAAATTTTATTATAAAAAATTTGCTTGATTTCTATTGACTCACCCCCATATATTTATCTATACTAAAAGTAGCTATTTTTGTATATTGTACTAAATACTGTCTATTACTAATATTTTTTTGGCTTATTTAAAACGCATAAATTAATTAAATATCTCTAAAAAAAAAAGTTTTTAAGCTTATAATTTAACAAACATGTTCTCTAAAGAATTCAATGCATAATTAAATTTAATGCATATTATTGGTCGGTAATGAGATAATATTCAATTAAATGATATTTAAACAACTTATAGTAACGATCTTTTATACATAACACTAAATAAATTATGCTACGATCTAAAATATCTAAAATGTTTATTATAATATATACCTTGAAATAGAGCATACATATATATTCGCAACGAATAATATTAGTATAATATTCGGGTAAAGACTTTTTTACTAATTATTCAGGCATAATTTATTTGCCAGCTTACGTAATCGCTGCTCGAAACCCGAGTCATTAAGCACAACCGTTATAAAACCACCGGATAACACCGTTATTGTACGCTACGCAGCCTTTTTTTTTCTGGGGCCCGAGTGGACCCAGAAACTGACAAATTAAGTTTCACAGCCAGATAATGCAGTAATGAATTATTCTACGTACAAATAATTCTCGTTATTGATTGCTTCGCATTCAATAAATAAAAATAAAAGTTAAGCGAAGTAGTAAAATATTATATATGTTATTATATAGCACATTACCAAGATAACGATCTTAATACTACTTGAACTAATAATATAATCGCTTAATTCACGTAATTAGCACTACTAACAAATTCAAATTAACGCTCTTTATACATACACATTATTGTATCATGAATAGTTATTCTAATACCTTGACTAAAAAAAATTATATATATATATAATAGAATTGTAAAATACAGTATGCATTTTTAGACTATCGAAGCAATGATCTTAAATACGTATATACCTACCTATTTGATTTAAAATAAATAGAAATTTTGCCTAGTTAAAAATATACTCTTGAAATTAGATCGTTTTACATATTTCAAACGTTAATTCCAGGAAGTTCTAATTTTTTTTTTTTTTTTAAAAACAAAGCGTGTTATTATTTATTGAAATGTTACACAAATTAATATTATTTATTTTTTAATAGTCTAAACATTACCTTGCAGTTATCATACGGAAATTTTTTTCATTGTATATATAGTATATATTACTGTATTGATAAGTTACCCTATTGATTTGATTAAATGACGATTAAAATCTAGATATAAATTAGCCATTCATTATCAATACCGATACGGATGCCATTCTAATCATAAAATCAGAACAAAACGGACATGCATTTAGACTTTGTCCGAAATAAGTTTGGAGTCGGCCCTAGAAGTCGACTCAAAAACCGGGTTCGGCAAGCTTTTTAACAGCCTTAACTTTAGCAAAGCCAATCTTTTTTAAAAATAATTATGTTGTTGAAATACAGGTTTAATTCAAGTTGTATAATTTTAAGCCTCAACAATTTTTCTCGTAAACTTAAGTTCTCTCTGTTTCATTCAACATTAAATACGAGGTTGTAATTTTTTTTTTTTAAAAAAAAAAATCATAATGGTTGAATTTTGGTGTGGGTGGTAAGTGTTTTATTATTTTTTCAAATTATATATTCCATATGAGTTATATTACAAGTTTTTCCACAATATTAAAATTCAATCAAAATTGTAAATTGTTTAGTGTTCCTCGTCTTCAACCTCGTTTCGGTACTATTATTCTTGCAGCAGTCAGTTTTGTGAGTATTTTTAATATTGTAATTAAATACAAATGTGAAATATGTACATAACTATTTTTATATAGTTCATTTCCTCATGGTTTGCAGCCATTTATCTAGCAAAACCGGGGGGTATGTAATTTATGTCGTGTAATTTTTATCAAGTTGTCAAATTTTTTTTAATGTTATATATATATGATTAGATTATGTGCCAGATATGTCAAGGGGACTTACTTTAGTATTCGGTATAGCATTCATTATCATGGCATTGGTCTCCTTATTTGGAATCATTGGTTCACTTTTTGTTAGTAAATTTTTTATTTTTTTATTTTATTTTATTTTATTTTTTTGTTTTTTAAATATATCTAATTAATAATTTATTTAAATAGGAAATTGCGACTGCTGTTCGCGTCTTTGCTAATATGCTATGGGGTTTTGTCATAGTTAATATAATTATAGCTATCATTATTATAGTGAATCTAGTTCAGAATAGACAATATGAGATTGATAATTGTATCCAAACTTTACAAAAACAATCGAATGTAGATACGTCACAACAAAGTGATATTTGTACACATAGAGAGACCACACTTATTGTACGAAACGTTGCTATAGCAATATTATTAATACTGTTTAGCGTAAGTATATATATATATGAATCAAGTTTAAACATTGGTAATAATTTCAATAATTTTTTTTTTTTTTTGCAGGTACTTTTCGCTAGAGTTTCATCTGTTTATGCACAAAAACTTGAAATGCGTGTTAAGCATTCTAGACGTCAAACACCAACTACTCTTGGAACACTTGCGAGTATTTCTACTACAGAAATTCCCATTCGATAATATAATTTATAAATTATTTATTAAAACATGATATCAAAAAAAATTTTTTTTATAATGTATTTATAGACAATTTTACAACAATATTCAATATTTCGTTTCATCATATATATTTTATATATACACTTTTTTTTATTAAATAAATATATGTATAATTTATTGTCGTTGTTGACATATGACATTCGAAAATTATTTTGCTAATAAAGGAATATCATCATTAGTGGATATTTTAACCAATTTGACTTATATGTTAAGAATCTAAATCGATTAACGATGATCAAAGAGTCGGGTAACTAATCGTTTTTATTGCGATTTACAAAATTTTGTACGTACCCCTTGCAAATCATCAAGATATCACTCAAATTTGTTAGGTAATTCTGATTTCTTAAAAACTACTTCGATACGATAATTTTGTATCGCGATATCGGAGATATCGGAGTAGTTTTAAGAATTAAAAATTTTCTGAATATATAACGATATATAACTGTTAAATGATTATCCAAAAACTAATCATTGAATGCTCATCTACATACTTTATACTGTAATACAGTAATAGGTAAACTACTATTTTGCATATTTCGCCAAGGGAATACCCAGGACCTCTTACAGGTTTTTTTTTTTTTATCATTATATACCCCCAGGTACACTGCATGCTACACGAAAAGTCTCGTGTAAGGTCATAAATAAAGAATCGGATTGTTTTGTATGTCATGCCTTTACATTTGTAAAAAAAAAAAAAAAAACTTTCTTTAAATATAGCTCGTGTGTGTTACACGCAGAATGCAAAGTGATAACATACACGAATTCCCATTAGAGATTCCTAAAAAGGAAATATATATCCGATTACGTATACGTAAAGTAAACGATAATTTATTCCTATCAACTATCGCTATCACTACGATACGTAGCGTTCTAATCCCAACTTTTTATCTTTACGTAAGATGTGCGTACATATATAGTTTTATATCTGATAATTTCCTGTAGTCAGTTTTAGGCAATTGGACAACTTTGTTCCACTGGACGGACCTATAAATTGGAACATTGGATGACCGTCAAAATGGGATGATATTCTACATAGCAAATACGGTAACCATTACTAATAACTGAGCATTCCCAATCACCATTCTCAATGGACTCTACAAATAATCTAATCAATCTATTTAATCAAAGCGACTAACCAAAATTCTCTGAAAGAAGTGTTTGATTATCGTTATTTAATTCTAAAAAAATCAAATCGATTACCAAAATCGATTACAATCAATACTTCCAATTCACATGACTAAATTTCAGAATTTTCTATTTGAATATAACGAAAAATAAATTTTTCTCAAATTTTACTGTATATATTTTCAAATACCATTAATAAATAAAATTTAAGGTCAATAATAACAATTCATTTTCTTTATTTATAAGAAAAAAATAAGACAGTAAAGAATAATGAATCACGAAAAAAAAAAATATCTTAATAAAATGTATATATATATATATAATTATTATATAGTACATATAACACTTTGACGAATTGTTAACTAAATGGACTTAATTTTGCAATACCGTAAATGAAAGTCTATATAAGAATCAAGTCAAAAAATAGGTCATTCGTTTTTTGTCTCTGCTAGAAAAAAAGAGAGGTAAGGGAAAAAAAAATCAAAACCATATATAAAAGATCAAAATAATGAAAATAATGGGTTAAAATAAATTCTCTCATTTGTGAAATCCAGAAAGTAACTGAAATAGATATTAAATGTATATATTAATTAAAAATAAAGAAAAAAAAGAAATATTAAATATATAAATATATATATGAATATGAATATGAATATAAATATAATCAAAATAAAAGAAAATATCAACAAAAAAAGAAAAGAAAAGAAAAAAAAACCCAACTATAAATCCTACAAATCCTACAAATTCTACAAATTCTACAAATCCTCCCAATTACAAATCCCACTAACAAATCACGAGAGAAATATTAACCCATTTAAAAAAAAACATTGATAAACTACTACTTATTATCACATAAAAAAAAAACTTAGATGTCGGTTGTTGTTTGATGTTTCGTATTAGTGAAAGAGGATTATATAGAGTATGTTGATCAACTAATAATATTGTTATAATAAACATATATATGTTGGTATATGTAATATATTTATAAAATACATCACATTACGGAAATAAAAAGTGTACTCACTTTTCAAATCCCTGTGCCTAATTTTTATATTGTTGCTCCATGTTGAAAAAAACAATTATCAACGGAGAGAGGAAAAATAAAAGAATGACAAAAGGTTGTGTTTTTTTTTTTTTTTTTTAAAAAATTTTTTTTTTTTTTGATTTTATTCTAATAAGTATTTTTGATTATTAAAAGAGAGTTTATCAACACATTTTTTTTTTCAAAAATTATTAAAAATATATATATATTACAAAACCAGACCATTATTGACTGATATAAGAGGAAAAAAAAAACATCGAAAGCCCAATGATAAAGAAAGTATGATTTCAAACAACAATAATACAGCAAAATAAGTTCAAAGTTATATTAAATCGAAAAGATATTTAACGAGAAACTGAACCATCCGAACCCGATGGAGCAAGTGGAGGTAGAGAAAGAAAAGCATCAGAAGGAGGAGTTGGCATACCATGATGTATAGTATGACTGTTTCCGTAATTATTGCCACTGTTTGTCAAAGATCTATCAGGCGACCCATAGGGGGTACTAGGAAGGGAACCATTAGAACTAATAGCTTTATCCAGATCGACCAAAATAGCGGTAGTTTTGTTAAGAAGCATACTAAGATGAGAGACTTCACGTTGCAACTCTTGTCGATGAGCTTGCAAGAGTTGTATGCTGTTTCGATCTGAAGCGGAGCTGGATTGTGGCTGATGAGTAGAAATTGGACTGTTTGTTGGGATTGGTAAACCCGCATGAGAAGGGGTACTTGGAGAAACCATGTTTGCAGAAGGAATAGAACTAAGTGGAGGTAATTGATGATGACCACTACTAGTAGGAGTAGTAGGGTTCAATAAAGCAGAAATAGAACTAGAGGAGTTTTGACTAGGAGAACTAGAACCATCATTGTATTGAGGGGGGAAGACTGAAGGTAAGGGAACACTTGGAGTACCCATTATACGATTATTATGAATATGAACTTGATTTGCCAATAATGGTTCCACAGGACTCAAACTCCTTTTTCTACGTTCATCCCACATAGCACTGCCAAGTTTACTGCAAACATAATCTTCGATTGGAGGAACTTGTCTAGCGTTTGAACTGCAACGACGCTTATTAGAGATTAAAGGGTCGTCAACCTTTCTTTTGCGATTAGACAAAGATAATTCATCAATAGAGATTTCATCCTCCGAAGAAATATAACCACGCTCTGAACCAGGTGTAGAGGCAGGAGTTGGAGGATGATGAATACGGCTCTTACGAGAAGAATGTTCATTGTCAGAACCACCAGATTGATTGGTAGGTGGTGGAGGCGAAGTAGCCAAAGCAACACGCTTACGACGCTTGATAACTGACCTTTTCATGGTCACGGGACGATGAACATTATGAAGTTTAAAGTATAAACCTTTAATTTATTAAAATATTATGATTAATTAAAAAATTTTAATAAAGAAAAAAATATATATATATGTTTTTTTTTTTGAAAAAATACAAACCACAAGCATTACAAATGGTATTCCCAGACTCATCTCTTCTCCACAAAGGAGTAGTATTAGTACCACAATTCGCGCAGATCAAGGCTTGACGATTAACTTGATGTTGGTTGAAAGCGGGGCACCCATCACAAGAGCTGGAGCCACCAGTTCCATCACAGTGACCATCACCTGGACACGTACCATTACTATTATTATTATCAGGTGTTTCATTAACTGCGGGAGTTGACTTTTTGATAGCATTTCGTTTCAACCAAGGTGGACGCACAGTATTTCTTGCCTTGAGGTAAAGTCCTAATAATAATAAAAAATAAAATAAAAAAATAATAAAAAAATTTTTTTTTATTAATTAAGTTAATTATTAAGTTAATTAAGTCATATTATTGATCACCTAAATTTGCTAGAGAAAGTGTGTTAAAACTAACCACATGCATTACAAATCGTCTCTCCGTTAGGGGCGCGCCTCCAAAGTGGCGTTGTTGTTGTACCACAATTGGCACAAACAATAGCGGAAACGCCTTGACCTTCCGTTCTATTACAAGAGCGGGGAGAAACAGGACCCGCGGAACCTTTTTCGATTAATAGGTATTTCTTGAACAGGTTGCTGTAAAATCTGCTGTTGATTTTGGTGCTGATGCTGATGCTGAATTTGTTGCTGTTGATGAACAATACTAGAATGACGATAATTGTCAGAATTTGATTTAGGCGAAATCGCAGGTTGAACAGCCGAATTATGGTGTGGTGGTGTTTTCATATCCATAATTTACTTAGGAAGATCTTATATAGAAATTCAAGAGAGGTTTGCAGAGAGAAAAAAAAAGATATTGTTGAAAAAAAAAAAGATTTGGTTGTTTTTGCTGTTATTTATTTTTGTTGAACTGGATTTGTAGTTGCGTTGTTTTTTTTTTTCGGCTTTCTTTTTTTTGAGTTGTTTGAGGTTTTTTTTTTTGTTTTTTTTTTAGAGTTTTTTTCTTTTGCGGAGAGGATTTGTTGCGCGAAAGTATGTGGTGTTATACTTCTAAAATAGAAGTGAGAATGATATTCTTGTGTAGAAGAAAAGTTTCTGCGAAACACAAATGTTTACCGGACTCTAACTTTTTTAGTTGGAGGTTGGACTTTCGATGTGGTATAAAGCTAAAGTACGATCAGTAGTTGCAGGTCTGGAATATTTCGATAATGAAGCCCACTTATACATTGATGAACGCTATAACTAGCGAAAGTGTCTCGTTTTTTACTTAACTAAAATCAAAATTACAATAATTAATTAATTATTAAAGAAAAAAAAAGTTCTTAAAATATTAACACTCTTGATAAAAGAATGCAGGATATGCGAAAAAGTAGTAGTTTATATAATATAATATATATATAAATATCAATATTAAGTAAAGAGAAGGGTGAATGAACACTTTTGAACCTTCTGACTTTCGGCACAGTTAAACACAGTAGCAAGAGACAAAGTTACGTTTTTTAAATAAAAAAAAGTCGAACACAAAAAAAAGAGAAAAGGAAACCGATAGACTTTATATACAAAATCCGGACGTATAGATAGAGAAAAATGGGATGCAGATTGATGATGGGTGATGGGCAGATTAGCCTGAAAAAAAAAATATTACGTAACACATATAGATAAGATGTTAAAAAGATGAAACATACAAAAAAAAAAAAAAAAATAGAATAAAATAATAATTACAAATATATATAAATAATTAAAGTAGTAAAGTAAAGTAAAACGTGATAAATTACATAAGGTTAATCTAGATATCAGTGATTAAGTAGTATCGAATGGCACAAAATGTTTTTTTTCTTATTCATGAACATTAACAAGAGTAACGTGACACAAAGATAGAGATAATGCGCATATAAGAGCTATCGGAGAACAATCAAACACTTATAGTTAAATTTTTTGTAAATCCAATTATATTTTGAATATATTTGAATATATATAATAGAAGATCTCCGATATCAGAATATCAGAATAATTTATCATACGCGATTGATACATACGTAGAGATAATACCGATAATAAATGGTAAAAGACGGATTAGAAAAAAAGTTGGCAGGGATAGATAAAAATGCTTATCACTGAATAAGCCAACAGAGTTTCCGAAAATTGGTTATCTACTAATAAATGACGAATGATTAAATTAGGCTTATCTTTTGGTTACTCTATTTGTTTTTTTTTGTACATGCATTTTATTAAAGCCTACCAATTAATGTTTACTGAATTATCCGATTACTACAAAACTATACTATATCTATACAATAGCTATACTATAAATATACTATAACTATTTATTATCTATTATATCAAAGAATTTTGTATATATCTGGATACTGTATCTGATATAAAATTGTACTAGTATATACATGTGCGTATTTTAAATATTATATATTTCAGATATATTTATTTATATATATATATATATACTTATATATATTATATACACATACGTATGTATACAATAACACTTAAAAATAATTTAAAGTTGATAGACTCATATCTTGATCGTTACGATTTAGGCAAGGTGGCGGGGGATACGGTTCTAAGAAACTACATGAACTTATTAAACGTGTTAAATTCATGATAATTATCAATCAAATCAATCAACATAAATCATCATGCATAAAAAATATAATGATAAAATATAATGATAAATGAACAAATATAAAAATGATAAGTCTCGATTATTTAGGATGAAAAAAAAATGGCATTCAACAAAATTCAAAATATCTTAATTGTATATACTGTATATTTATTTGTTATCAATAACTTTTTTCATGTGTTTCATGTGATTCATAAAAATGATCACGTATATATAGCAAATGTAGTAAATGTAGTAAATGTAGCTAATGTAGCTAATGTAGCTAATGTAGCAAATGTAGCAAATGTAGCAAATGTAGCAAATTTAAGCAAATTTAGTAAATCTTGTAAATCTAAATACACCATTCTTAATGAACGAACATAAGATAAAAAAAAAAAAGAGTCAACCGATATATTTTAAATTTCTTACTACTTAAAGAGATAAGTTACCACTTAGAGAGAAAAATTACTACTCAAAAAGAAAGATATAATGTAAAAGAACGTGGAAAATCAATAATATTCTAATTAGGAAGGAACCGGATGAGGCGGTGCTTTAACTTTCATTGGCAATCGTATATATGCAAGATAATGTATGATACATATGATTGTAATAAACCTTATAGGGATTTCGATAATACTTGTGTCGGGCGGTTGATTATACAATGTTTTACGTGATCTCGGGATAAGTTGACGGTACTTTTTAACTATCTACTATCATTAAACCAAACGTTAATCGTTCTTCGTTTTCTGTGTTGCCAACATAGATAAGAATTCCTGTTGTTTTTAAATTGTTTTTGTTGTTATCTTTTTTTTTTTTTAACATTTGATCAACAAGGTTCGAGCACAAGATTTCCTTTGAAGGCTTATCAAAAAGAATGTTTATATATATATATATTTTTACCAGTTGTTTTTATACCCACCCCCACATAATTACATTCCATATTCCATAATTACATTTCACATTTACATCCGTGAGATGTAGGACATGGATACGGGATGCGGGATATGTAGTATTTTTCTCATAACATTGTTTTATAAATAAATAAATTTTATACGTCAAAATACAAATCATCAAGGTACTTTATCTTGCATGATCTTTATTTCGTTAATAAAATTTCTCAATGTATATTTGAGTATATATGTGTATATGTATATATATGTGTGTGTTTATATGTATATATATGTGTATGTATATATGTGTAATATGTATATACAGTATATATGTATGCAGTATGTGCAGTTTTTTTTTTAATTAGTATAAAAATACGTTTTATTTCTCTCGGGTCGATCAAATTTTGTTTCTTGTAACGCATTTAATCTTTCTTTAGATCTAGTTTATTCGTTTTTGGTATATCTCAATTTAAAGTTTAAATCCAAATTTTGCTTATCAGTTCGCTTAGATTCTCTTAATTCGTTTTTATAATTAAACTAAAAATGTATGTTAATGATATTATTGTATTGACTTTAACGATATTTTTCTTGTTTAATAACGTGAATTTCGTGATTTTTAGTGAATTAACGCGTTTTTTTTGATGTGAAATATGATTTATTTGATTATCTGTATGATAATCTTGATATTCCATAATTGTCTTTTTAATAATCATATGATATTACAGTATTATTGTATTTTCCCTTTAACAGTTTAGTAGGATTGTCACAAATGTTGAACAATAACAAGGTCTACTACGCATGTGATTTAGTATATGTAATTAATTAAAATATTTAATTATTATATGTATCTTGGCTCGTGTCAAATTTGTGTCAATTTTGTGTCTAAATACTTTTGTAATTTTGACTATGGCGAAATAATCTGTTATTATTCTTTCGAATGACAAAATCCTATTCGCTCAAAACTAAAGTCTGCCTCAAAAAAAAAAAAAAAAAAAAAAAAGCAACTGATAATATGAATTTGGAAAATCGATAGTAGATCAATCTGATAAGAAAATCAATTTATAAGATTATCCTCTTTTGTATTTAATGATATCATTGTGCTTGTGAAAAAATATTACGTATATAGTATAAAGTAAAGTACAGAAGTATCTCTTTGACATGTATACTAATATATTAAATATATATATATATTGTAATAATAAATAATAATAACGATAAAAAATATAACGATAATAAATATATAATAAAATATAATAAAGCATAATAAATATATAATACTGTATATAATAATAATAATAATAATAATAATAAGTATACTTTATTGTACACGTATATACTATTTTATATATTTTTTATATTATTATATTATTATTAGCATTCAGCCAATCAATTGTCTATATTCATATAGTCTATATTATATATATTTAATGCATATATTATATTTTCATCGTGCATAATCAATTTACCAAAGATAGTTACCTCTAAATTTAACCAATGCAAGGCGGTTCGTAAAGACTTTTTTTAAAAAAAATGTACCTCTAAAATTTTAATTCCTAAAAAAAAACTATATTCGATTAATTTTATTGGATAAAATTTTTCATTACGTATTATGGTAGTATTATGGTCTGTTTGTGACTGGTCCCGATTCTTTTCTTTCCATTTATTTATTTATACAGTATTGTATACAATATGTGCTCTTTTCTATCCAAAAAAAGTTTCATTTTTTTTTCATGAATTGTTACGCCTTTTTTATCTTTACTTATTTTAGTCAATAAATGTGTGGAGATTTTTCTATTATATTATATAATATTATATAATATATCGTTATTATACTATATCTATTTATTTCATTATCTTGTGTTACTTTAATTATTGTATATTCTTGTTAAATTGTTAAACAATTTATTTATCCGCTCTTAAAAAAGCTTTTTTGACGCTTAAAATGTTTGACGTTTAAAAAAGCTTTAATGATTGATTATACCTATTTGCATAATTACTATCCAATTAATATGTACTATCTGCATCTTGCCACCATTCGTACTTACCTTTCGCGCCTAGATTCGGTAATGAATGTCTTTATTCTTTTGATATTGATTGATTTGATTGATTTGATTAAGCATGATAACTGTGTTTTGTCTACTTGAGGAATCTTTGTTGGTGGAGGTGGCGTTGTGATTGTTGCATTTTTTCCTTACCTTTTTTTTTTAATCATTTATGCATTTACGTACACATTTACGTACACATTTACGTACGTTTGTGATTATCTATTTATGCATTTGTCATTTTTATATTTGCTCTTTATAATTTCTTTAATGTTATTTCTACAATCTTATCTTTTTTTATTTTGCCGTTTCCGTATTCGGTCTGGCCCGTAATGATTAACTGGCCTCCGCTTTGATTTTTAACTTAACTGGTCTCTATTCTTTTTTACTTGTTAATTTTTATCAGATATACTTACGTATCTATTTACGTATGTTACTTACGTACTCTACTTACGTATCCGTTCCCTATTTGCTACCCTGTTATCTAGGGTACGCAAAATACTATCTATCGTTCACATGATCAATTCTTATCTTATCTTTTCTTATCTTTAATTACACTTTTTGTAAATCTCCTAATTATGTTTATATTTCCGATAATCACTCATGTTAATGCTGTAACGATGTGTACTAAAATTGTTAACTAATTTTTAATCGAAATTTTCGTTATAATGTGAAATGTGAAATGTGAAATATGATGCACGTACGTACGTACACTACCCTACCTACACAATACACGTATATACTACATATTTGTTTAGTGTACCGGATTACGTTATTTTGTTTTAACGTTAAAGTCATTAAGTGGTTAATTTAATCTTTAGCTACACATTGTATAATTATATAATTATTTGAAACTTTTTGATCCAGGCCTGTCTACTACTGTACTAGTTCGTTACCTGCTTTCAAAAAATTTTTACTAAAAAATCCACTAATAATCATATCTAAAATTAGTTAAAACTTCTGCAAAAGCCTAAAAATTATTTCATATTTTTATCATTATACAGTATACAGTATATATATTTATTTATAATTTTTATTTTTAAATTGACTATTTCTCATAACTTGTTTACGTAATTAAAATTGATATATATACTTTATGTAAAAATTAGAAATAACTATACATTATATACAGGGTTGTCACGTTACTATGTTTATTCTATTGGCCTCTAATTCTATTCACTTTTTTCATAGTCTAACAATATATATTTAAATAATTGCAAATTATTAATAAAAAATTTTTTTTATATAAAGACAAAAAATCAGGCTTTTATTGATTATATAATATTCTAAATTTTTATATTTATTTTTAAATTATAATTATATTATATAAATTTATAATTTGTAAATTTAAACAAATTTTATAATATTTTATTATTTAATTTGTAATATAGACATATTTGTTTGTATTTTTTTAAAAAATTTTAATTTTTTTTAATGAATATGATTTCACTATACTATTAGTAGTACATTGTATTACCAAGTGACACTTTTCAAAAGCAATTATCTATTAATTTTAAAAATTATTTGTTTAAATATTTTTTTAATATGTCTTAAATTTATATAATTGTATACCAAGTACAGTATTATAGTAGTTATAAATATTTTTTTAAAATTTTATATAATTTTTTTTTAACTTTAAAATCTTAGTTTAAACTAGTTTTATATAGCATTTACTAGTTATTTTATAGGATATTTTTGTTTATTGAATTTTTTTATTAAATAAATTTATTTAAATTTTTAATAAAATTGTAAAAATAAAATTGTTAATTTAAATTGTAAAATTTTATCAAAATTAAATATATATACAAAAAATAATTTAACTTTAAATTTTTACTAATAAATACTATATAAATCTATTTTTAAATTTATATTTAAAAAATAAGTAAGTTTTTTTTAAATTTAAAGTAATATAATTTAAAATAAACTAATTTGCTATTAAAAAAAATTTATAATTAAAATTAAAAAATAAATTTTTATAACTTTAATTAGAAATTTAAAAATTTTAATCAATAAAAAATTTTTTAAATATTAGCTAAACTTGTATAACTTACTATAAGTAGTAATAAATTGTAATTAATTTAATTAGCAATTTGCAAGTTAATTAAATAAAATAATCAATATATGGGAACTCCCACAGCAAAAGAGTATATTGGAACAAAAATTTTAATTTTGTAATTTTATAAAAATTGTAATCCTATTAGTCTAATTCTTCAAGAAATTAATTAAAATAAAAAAAAAATTTTTTGGCCCAATGCACTCTTTTGTTATAGAAGGTTTTATATACTAAGTAAATTTGATATAATTTAATTAATAAAAAAAATCTTTTTGTAAATATGAAGTTTTTTTTAAAAGATCTAAAAAAATCTCAAAACAACAAAGCTAGTATAAAGATAATTATAGTTTATATAGTATTAACTAAATAGATATCTTTAATAGCAACAGAATTATACAGATTAATATAGTAAATTAGATGTTAATTGCTTTTTTATAATTAACAAGGTAGTACAAATTTACTTACAATATTAATTAATACTTTTTTTAGAGTCTTCACTAGTGCTTAGCACAATCAAACAAAATTTGATAGTCAAATACTTGTTAATATTTGTGATTAAGTTAGATATCAAATGATTACAGATTAATCAATCATATATATTTAGCTTTAATTAATTTGATATCTGATTTAAGCATAAGTATTAACAAGTATTTAACTATCAAATTTTTGTTTGATTGTGCCAAGCACAAGTTTTTACTAGTAAAAAATTAGTATTTTCTTTAGTAATAGTAAAAAAATCTTAAAATGTAGTATTCTAATAAAATATATTTCAAATTATATCAAAGTTATTATTGAAAAATATATAATTAGTTAGAATAGCTAAATCTTTTAAAACAAATCTATAGTTATAGATAAATTGATCAAAATAAAAAAAATTGTAACATTATTAAGGGCCTTCGCCATGTTTAATTAACGCTATGCTTCACCATAAAAATAAAAACTTACACACTTCACTTTCAATTTAATAACTTAAAAAGTTGTGCAGTACTGAACAATCATCTACAAAGAAAAATACACCAAATCACATACACACTAACGATTACCAATTTTAAGTTTATACAACATGCAAACTTTATGCACAATCATGTTTATTTACAAAAATCTAATACATAATTACAATAAACGGTAATTTTAAAAATTTCTTGCAATAAAACAACTCTTTAATATAAAACTCATTCTGTTCCTTTATCAGTAGTAAACCACCCATTTTCATTATCAGCCTCATTTATAAAATTAAAAACTTTAAGTTCATCATACCGAACACTTCGTTCAAGATCTTAGAAATAGCAGATTCGAAATTGTGACCAATCTTGTAATTTGAATTCTGGATTAAATTTTTTAAAAAAATGGTTAGCGAGAGATTCCTATTCATCTCTCACGTAATGGCTGACTTTACCAAGGTATAACTCGCAGACCAGATCGGTTTCCACTAGAAATAGAATTCATCCTCGCATTTCTTGTGAAAAGAAATATCCCAGAATGAATTCTTTTCAATTTAAGACAGCGCCCATATTCACTAAGTAAAAGGCACGGCCATCTTACCTTTTCCGAATTTGTCATCATTAATCAAGAAAGAAGGCATTTAATATTTTGCAAATTTAAGATTGTTAGATAAAATTTATAACATTAAATAACTTTTACTTTGCAAATCATCTTTATCATCATTATTTTAATTAGTTCATTATGTATTAGTTTCAATAGTACATTTTTTTTCTTTAGGCAGGTTATCTCGCCTAATCAGGAATTGTATAAAAAAATAACAAAATTGTACTTGACAATATAAAAAGGCTAAGGAATTGATAGATGGGCGACAGCTATGTTCAACAAAATTAAAGAGGCTGAGAATAGAGAAATAATGTAGCTAAACAGCAAAGAGTCTGTAGATCAATATTGATACTAATTTATATTAATTAAGTGTAACATTGAAAAAGCGTCGCTCCGCTTAGTTAATTAACGCTACGCTTTATCATGATAATAAAAACTTACACACTTTACTTTCAATTAAATAACTTGAAAGGTCTCTTAAGTAGAAGCGAAAGAGTAAAAGAGATTGTCTACAAACACCAAATTATATGCATACTAACGATTACCAATTTAAAGTTTATACAAAATGAAATAATAAAAAACTTTTATGCACAATCATATTTATTTACAAAAACAAATAATTACATAATTACAATGAACAGTAATTTTTTAAAATTTCGTCCAATAAAAAATAACAACTCTTTTATATTAAACCACCCTGTTTCTTCATTAGCAGTAAACAATTTTCAAAATCAAAACTTAAAATTTATCATATCATTTAACTTTATGTGAAGTTGCCTGTTCAAGGTCTTGACAATAGTGGATTCGAAGTCGTGGATAGTCTTATGATTTGAATTCTGGATTAAATTTTTTTAAAAAAAAATGGTTAGCGAAAGATTTCTATTCATCTTACGTAACGGCTGACTTCACCGAGATATAACTCGCAGACCAGCTCGGTTTCCATTGGAAATAGAACTCATCCTCGCATTTCTCATGAGAAAGAAATATCCCAGAATGAATTCCTTCTAATTCGAGACAGCGTAACTTCAAAATCCCATATTCACTAAGTAAAAGGCATGGCCATCTTACCTTTTCCGAAGTTGTCATAATTAATCAAGAAAGAAGGTATTTAATATTTTGCAAATTTAAGATTGTTAGATAAAATTTCTAACATTAAATAATTTTTACTTTGTAAATCATCTTTATCATCATTATTTTAATTAATTTATTACATGTTAGTTTCAATAGTACATTTTTTTTTCTTTAGATGGGTAATCTCACCTAATCAGGAATTGTACAAAAAATAACAAAATTGTACTTAACAATATGGAAAAGGCTAAGGAATTGATAGATGGGCGACAGCTATGTTCAACGAAATTAGGGAGACTGAGAATAGAGAAATAGTGTAGCTAAACATTGATACTAATCTATATTAATTAAGTAAGATTTGAATTTTTGATAATGTGCGATAAGAATGGTATTGCCAAATTCATTTCATTCTTTGTATTTAAATAAAAATACTTTGAGCAACAAGATTGGAAATCAGAAGGAATCACATATCTTGCCATGTTTAGTTTATCATTAAAAAAATTCATCTGAGAA